TACGTTGTGAGCACAGGTAGTGTTGCCTGCTTACATATCTCTTAGCTTTATTAATCAATATTATTAATAAATGAGACAGGGATGATTCCAGACTAGAAAACAATCCCAGAGCAAAGCCTGAAGTTTGTCCTCACATCCCAGAAAGACCCAACCCTCCTGCTTGAACAGGATTAAAAAAAAAACCCAACCCCAAACCACCCCTTCCTCACTCCCACCCACCACAAATCGTCCTCACCTCCTTCCACGCCTACAAACCAGCCAATTAAGAGGAGATCAATTAGCAGGAGAGCTTTCCCTTCTGCTCTTTCACAAGAAAAGACAAAATCCCCCTTTGAGCATCCCCCCAGAAGTGAATCCAGGTGCGGACGTGGGCAGGGGCGACTCACCATGGTGCTCATGAGGATGTCGGCGCAGTCGGGGAGCTCGATGGCCGGGGCGGTGATTAACGCGTTTCCTCCTCCCGAGTCCCCGTCGAGGCTCCTGGCCGTGCGGAAGGGAACTTCATCCAGGTAGCTCATCGCCGCTGCCTGGGTTCTTGCTGCCAGAGGAAACAAAAGTGTGAAAGGCAGGACTAGCACCTTGTAAGTTGGCTGGAAGGAGAGGAAGATGAGTCCCCCTCCAAGCCAGGGACGGACCAAGCACTTTTTCCACTTCCAGAGGCAGCAGCCGCAGCCAAGGAGGAAACCTCGCAGTCTCCTCTCCCTGCGTGACCCAAGAGCCGCGTGGCTGACTCAGGGACATGGCCACGTGCTGCTGAGCCGTCATCCTCCAGCCGTCCCCTCCGGCTCCGTGGCACCTTACCCAGAGCCCGAGGAGGAGGCTGGTGCATCAGGCAGCTCCAGCGTTCAAGGGATGCCCAACGAGCCATTTTAAGCTTTGAAGAACCATCTATTCATTCTACGCGTGGTGATGTTTTTAGATCAGGAATAGCAGGGGAGAGAAAAAGTTCTGATGAACCAGGAATGGTGGCATGGAAAATATTACTGCAACAGCATAGCCATCAGCTCGGTATAAATGTCTCAATTTGGTAAAAAGCTGCTACTTGCTGCATGAAGCTTCCCAGCGAGGACAGCACGCAAAATAATTTCCTTCATATATTGTCAAGAGCTGAAGGTCAGCCTTCCACTGAGTCCTGGCACCCACAGCCTGCTCACCCCAAAGTCCTCAGCAGACATACTCAAATACTTGGTGTGACATCCCTAAGTGCTTTTACCAATTTATTTTTTTCTTTTAAAAAGAAATAGCTTCTGTGACAAAGAGGATAAACACTCCATAAAAAAAAAATAAGCAGACGAATGTATCAAGGAAAGCTGCCTGTTAATTTAAGGCAAAAATAAAGGTTTATAATGGGAAACTGCATGCCAGGTAGTTTCTTATGTTAGCAAAGGACTAACGAACAGCTTCTAGACCCTAAACAAAGAGCGACATGCACAATCGCTCGGTGCAGCGCAATCACTAACCAGCTTTGGGCTCCCACACGTGTCCGGCTGCTCACACGCGACACACGCAACGTGTCAGGAGCCTGCACGGAGCCAGGCCATCTGCTCCGCAGCCTAAGAGGGCTCAGCCTAAGTTCCAATCCACGTCAGCACCGACAAAGACGACGCGTGAAGACATCTGTAAGCAAAGCCGCCTTCCCCTGGCTTTTCCCAACTCCTCCGTGCGGCCACGCAGCCCCTGCCTGCAAAGGGACGGACCCTCCTCGCAGCTCACGCTGTAAATTGGGATTTCCCAAAAGCTGTGCGGTACAAAGGTGCAAAGGAAAAAAAATAATGCTACTAGACAGGAATAAAACAGGGCCAGTCATCAAGGTGCACCAGAAAGCAACTCCCACAAGAGTTCTGAGCTCACCTGCCGCCCGCCAGCC